AATTTTTAGCTATATCTTCTTCCTCTTCCTAAAGAACCCCCTTCAGCAATTCATATAATTCTGGTTTGGCGGTGATGAACTCCTTTAGCTTTTTTTTAATTTGTAAAGCTCTTTATCTGGCCTTCAATTCTGAGTGATAGCTTTGCTGGGTAGAGTATTTTTGGCTGTAGGTTCTTGTTATTCATCACCTTGAATATTTCCTGCCATTCCCGTCTGGCCTGCATGGTTTTGTTGAGAAATCAGCTGACAATCATATGGGTGCTCCTTTATAGGTAACTACCTACTTTGCTCTTGCTGCTTTTAATATTCTCTCTTTGTCTTTTGCTCTTGAAATTTTAATTATGATATGTCTTGGTGTGGTCCTCTTTGGGTTCCTTTTGTTTGGAGTTTTGTGCACTTCCTGGACTTGTAAGTCTAATTCTTTCACCAGGTGGGGGAAGTTTTCTGTCACTATTTCTTCCAGTATTCTTTCAGTATCTTGCTCTTTCTCCTTTTCTGGGACCCCCCATAATTCTGATGTTGGTTTGTTTGAAATTGTCCCAGAGGTTTCTTACATTATCTTCAGTTTTCTAGATTCTCTTGCCTTCTAGCTTCTGCAGAGGAGTGTCTTCTGGCTCTTTGTGTTCCAAATCTTTTACTTGATTCTTGCGATCTTCCATTCTGTTTTTAGGACTCTGTATAATATTTTTTAGTTCAGACAATGTATTCTTTATTTCTAGTTGATCCCTTTTCATATCCTCATAGGTCTCATTTATTTTTTCAGCCTTTTCTAGGAAATTCTTGAAAAACCTTATAAGCGTGGTTTTGAACTCTATATCCAGTTGCTTCTTGTCCTCCAGTTCTTTTGTTTGTGATCTGTTTCCTTGTCTCGGCATTTTCACAGCTTCCCTGAGTTGGTAGGGTGGCTTTGTGTGCTAAGGTGTCCTATATGGTTCAGTGAGTCAGCCTCCCAGTTACCTGAGGTGGACAGTCTTGGTGTAGCCCTTTGTGGGCTGTGTGTGCAGTCTTGTTGTTAAGCCTTGCTTGTTGTTGGTATCACTGGGAAGCGTTGATCTCCAAGCCAATTAGCTATGAGGATCAAAAGTGTCTCAGCTAGGAGGGTTTCTGTATTCCGCTTGGATGGGGTGGAGTCTCGGGGTGGCACAGCCAAGCTTTGGTGAATCCCGCAAGATTGCAGGCATGCGCACCTCTTTGGTATAGGAGAGCCCTGTTTGCTGCGAATGAGAAAGCTAGCTGCTGGAAGGGCTTCTGTGCTCAGCTTGGATAGGGCAGAGTCTCGGGGTGGTACAGACAAGCTTTATTCAGCCCCTCCCTATAAGGGCCTGGTTTCTGAGTCCTGCAGTAATGGCTGCTGGCTTAACACACCTCTGAGAGATCTCTGCCCATTGCCTGACAGTCTGGCCTCTCCCTGTCTGGGACCATCTATCAGAGCAATAGGGTAGTTCTATTTTCCTTCCAAACAAGAAAGCTAGCCGCACATTAACTGTCCGCCCTCTCCACGCGCAGGGAGTAATCCAGCAGCGAACTCAGCCCAGCCCACTCTCTCTGTGCTCCACAAGCAAGCCAGCAGTGAAGTCAGGCGGCCGCCTTTTCTCGCAAACAGTTCTCCGCACCTTCACAGTTCCTGAGGTTCAGCGTGCCTTCTCTCTCCTTCCCAGATGGTAGAGCCTCCTCTCAGCCAGCCACCTGGTGCTTCAGGGTGATGTTTCCCCCTGTTTTTCAGTTATAAATTCAAATTTGTTGTGGTAGGTTGCATTCAGGTGTCTACCCTATGCCGCCATCTTGGTTTCTCCTCTCTCATCATTGATGTTTCTATCTTTCCCTCACTATTCTTCTCTGAAACCAATAAAAATATATTTAAAAATTTTTTTCTTTTTTTAATTGATTTCAGAGAGGAAGGGAGAGAGAGAGAGATAGAAACATCAATGATTAGAATCCTGGATCGGCTGCCTCCTGCATGCCCCCCACTGGGGATTGAGCCCGAAACCCAGGCAGGTTCCCTGATCAGGAATCAAATTGTGACCTGGTTCATAGGTCGACGATCAATCACTGAGCCTCCTGGGCTGGGAAAAATGGGGATACTCTTAGAGATACCTAACTGAAAACATTTATAGGTAACCTGATACAATGTCTGGAGTTTGCTTGAAAATGATCCTGATTTTTGGGGACTGCAGGGAGAGGATTGTTAGTGTTACAGGAAGGAGAGGGGCTTGCCTCCCCAATTTGCTGTGGAAATGGGTTCTTGGGGTGCTGTGGGAAAAAGCATTTCTGGAGGCCCCCATAGGAGGACTAGATATAGTAGAAAGCTTTGTTTCTGTGGAATTGCACCCGTGGGTTTCCAAAGCCCCATTTCCCTTATTCTAGTTATAGAAGTGTAGCTGGGCCTCAGCAGAGCTGACATCAGAGCCGCTGTCCAGTTTCCTTCCTATGATGGAGCCGGGCCCAGTCCAGCTTCAGGCTAGTGTAGCTTGTGTTTCCCTGCTGGAGTCCATTGTGTATGGGGTCCACATGGCTGTGGGCCATACAGGGAAGGAGGAGCAAAAGAGCCCCACGAGCCAAGGGGGGAGGGAGGGAGGAGGGAAAGAGAGAGAGAGAGAGAGAGAGAGAGAGAGAGAGAGAGAGAGAGAGAGAGGACTCTTTTGTTTAGGAGATTATGTATTCCCAAATTTTTGTGTGCTTGCAGTGGCCACGCCCATTCTGGCCAATGATTTCTGTTCCCAGGTGTGACTGACAGACAAGTAACTTCCCTATGTCATCCCAACTTTACTGGACAAGCATGTATCTTTCCTTTGTCCAGCCCTCCTCCCCCAGAGTTTTGCAGGGAATAAATAGGCTGGTGGCTCTCTGGGGAGTGCAAAGCTTCAGCTTCCTGGGGAAGCTGCCCAAATGACATGCCTATATGTCTGGCCTTCCCTTTTCACACTTTCCTATTATTAATACCTAGGTAAGTACAATGGTGTCGTTATAAATATAGATGGAACAAGATTGGCCGAGTTTGTCATTGTTCAAAATTATATCTACTTTTGTGTATGCTTAAAGTCTTCCACAGTAAAGAAAAATTTTCAAAGACAGAAAAGTAAAATTTAAAAAATGGGGAGGGGTAGAGCTATTAACCTTCTCTATTACCTGCTTAGAAGGTTGCTAGGAAGAGGGATTAAACAAGTTAATTTAAATTAAACGTTAGTAAAGCATTTAGAAGAGTGCCTAGCCCGTGTTAGTAATTAGTTTTTATTTTGTTCTTTCTAGTCCAGAAGCAGCTCAGACAAGTTACCAGTAGGCGGCGCTGTCTCCCAGCTCCATAAAGATCCTGGTGCAGATGAGGATCCCTGAATTTGAATCCTGTTCTGCTGCTTCCTAGTTGAGGTTTACTATCTCCGAGCCTTTTTATGCATTTCTAAAATGGGGACAGCAACAGTATCACCTTCTGAGCTGTTAGGATGATTCAGACTCAATGATATAATGATGTAAGGTACTTGGTGAAGCATCCGACGCATCTTTTTCTGGACACCTTTCTCTCAGGAGGTGCCTCTGGGCCAGTGCTCCTGTTTCCTGTGGGGATTCTCTCACCCGCGCAGTGGCTACAGAAAGGGAACTTTCTTGCCTACCCAGCCTCATCCAAAGCTATCACAGGTTAGCCCTCTAGCCACTAGGTGGCGAAGTCTTCTTAGAAGGAACTATTAGAAATCCCGTTTTGTTTTTAAAATTAATTAATTTATTTTATTGATTATGTTCTCACATAATTGTCCTTATCCCCCAATTCTCACCCCAAACCCCTCCCTAAATATTCGCCCACCCCCCTGTTGTCCATAGCCACTGGCTAGGCCCATATGCATGCATGCACACAAGTCCTTTGGTTGATCTCTTCCCCTTACCCCCACCTTCCCCTACTTTCCCTATGAGGTTTGAGAGTCTGACCGCTGCTTCTCCTTCTCTGGGTCTGTTTTTGTTCATCAGTTTATGTTGTTCATTATTTCCTCTAGATGTGTGAGATCATGTGATCCAAGAAATACCCTTGTAAGAGCCTAAACTGCAACAAGCCATAATGGTTATGTAACAGAGAGGAATAGACAGAAGTGCTCCATCCATGAACACAGAAGAGACACAATTCAGAGATGGAAGATGCTGACGATGCCTCACCATACCAGCAGACAGCAGCTGTGTGTTGCTGAAGAATGCCCAGAACCAAACCAGAAACGGTTGGGCCTGCATTACCACCATTTGTCCAACAACCAGATCTGAAATATCATGGCTGACATGTACACATAAGGAACTATATGGCATTGAAATTGGGACTCAAAAGAAATCCCGTTTTCTTGAGATGTGATTAAGATGTTAGGCTATGCCCAACCTGGTTTGGCTCAGTGGATGGAGTGTGGGCCTGTGAACTGAAGGGTGTGGATTTGTTTCTGGTCAAGGGGCATGTACCTTGGTTCCTTGATCTGTGGGAGATGCCTCACATCAATTTTTCCCTCTTTCACTCTTTTAAAATTAATTAATTAATTACTTAATACATAACTATTTTAGGCTATGTGAATCAGACCCAAGTTAGAATTCCTTTTCTATCACATATACGCTATATGATCTTATCGGTCTGCCTGTTTCCTCTTTTATAAAATGAGCATCTTTCTATAAAATACACCTATCACAAGAGTATCACAAGGATTCAGTATGCTATTGTAGGCAAAGCCTTTAATACAAGACTTAAACAAATAGAAACTCCCATCAACATTAAACTAATATGACTAAGTAAATACTTGGAAGGCTCATTGTGTGTCAGGCACATAATTACCCTGTGAATTCCCATGGGAACGCCATGAGAGGAATTTAGCAGTGATCTCCATATTATAGGAGAGGGGACTGAGGCTCAGAGAGAAGTTACTTGTTGAAAGACACACAGCTAGAACATGGCATCTTGAGAATTTAAATCCAGGCAGCCTGTCTTCAGAATCTATTATGCTAGAGTGCACTTCCTCACCCTCTTAAACCATTTGCATGCCCAGACTTCAAGTTTCTTCTGGGCCTGAAGTCTTTGAGCAGTCAGAGGACTTCCATCCTGGCCACCTCTTGGACAGGAAGGGATGATTCAAGAAGGACAAAGTGCTTCCTGCGCTTTGATCATGAAGATCAGGACATCACTGTAGAGTAGTGGTCCTCTACCTTGAGTGTCCATCCAATTACCTGGGAGCCTTGTTGAAACACAGATAGCTGGGCCCACTCCCAGAGTTCCCAATCTTGTAGATCTGTTTTGGGAGCCCAAGAATTTGCCATTTTAACAAGTCCCAAGTGATGCTGAAGCTGCTGATCTGGGGGCTGCACTTAGGCCACCACTGAGCTATGCATGGCAGAGTAACAAGATGGAAGGAAGCTGGGCCCCTGACTGACTACATGGAGAGGATCAACCTTCTCTTTTTTTAAAATATTTTTTTATTAAATTATTATCTGTGTACATATTTTAACATTGCCCCCCCCCATACATACCCTCCCTCCCCAGAGTTTTGTGTCCATTGGTTGTACTTATATGCATGTATACAAGTCCTTCAGTTGATCTCTTATCTCTCCCAGATCTCCCTACCCTCCCGGCTGTAATTTGACAGTCTGCTTGTTGCTTTACTGTCTTTATATCTGACTTTTGGTTCATCAGTTTATAATCTTTAATATCCATAAATGAGAGAGGTCATGTGGTATTTCTCTTTCATTGACTGGCTTATTTCACTCAGCATGATGTTCTCTAGTTCTATCCAGGTTGCTGCAAATGATGATAATTCCTTCTTTTTTATGGCAGCATAGTATTCCATTGTGTAGATGTACCATTGTTTTTGGATACAATCATCTGCTGATGGGCACCTAGGCTGTTTCCAGATTCTAGCTATTGTAGATTGTGCTGCTATGAACATAGGGGTGCATATATCCTTTCTGATTGGTGTTTCTAGTTTCTTGGGATATATTCCTAGGAGTGGGATTATGGATAAAATGGGAGTTCCATTTTCAGTTTTTTGAGGAAACTCCATACTGTTCTCCACACTGGTTGCACCAGTCTGCATTCCCACCAGCAGTGCACGAGGGTTCCTTTTTCTCTGCAACCTCGTCAACACTTGTCTTTTGTTGATTTATTGATGTTGGCCATTCTGACAGGTGTGAGATGGTACCGCATTGTTGTTTTGATTTGCATCTCTCAGACAATCTTCTCTTTTATTTAAGCCACTGCATTTTGGGATTTGTAGGTTACATCAAGCAGGCCTTTACATTACTTAATACAGAAATTGCCAGGTTTTCTTCCTGGAGCTGCCCCTGATGGGCAGGCTGGTCACTGCACAGAGAGTGAACGGCCACTGCAATCTTGCTCACACTTCACCTGATAAGTCATGTACTTTGGCACAAGGCTGCATCCAACCACAGGAAATCACTTTCAAAGCAAGGGATACTCATCAAGTTTTGCACACTAGGGGATGGATCTGCCCAGAGGAGATCCCTTTTCTAATTCATCCTTCTATAAGGGGTGCCCTTTTCTAATCACCTGACGGGTCCTGAGTTCAGATTCAAGACCAAGAGTTGTCAAGACTTTTGGTGTTATAGACAACCTTCATGGAATTTCCAAGACTTGAAGCATCTTCCTAATGTGGGCTTAATTTAAGGGAGTTGTCTGAATAGACTCCGAGTCTGGACTGTGGTTGACTGAGGCAATTGTGACACCCCAGGAACCAGAAGCAAAGATGCTCAATCCCAGAAGGGAAATCTTCTCCCGCACCCCTTCAGGTTGGACAAGGAGGATACCGCACAGAAGTAACTTTCAGAGATGAGCAGCAGCAGCCATGTAGGTTGTCAAAGGAAGTCACTCCAAAATGTAGGCAGCTAGAATGCTTTCAGCTGCAAGTAGCAGAATAGTTGGGGAAGGCAGTCTCATGTGTGTGGTATTCCACCCCCAGGTTGGCTGTATTAGAATGGACCTTGGGCCTGGAACACTTTCTTACCAAGAGGCTAGGAGCCCTTACAGCCTGTGCTGGGCTTATGGCCTTGTGAGAGCATCTTTTCCTATTTCAGACTCAGTGGGTACTCACTTGTTCTGCAGAAATGCGTGTGTCAATGGCCCTCAGGCATACCCCTGGTTTTTTAAAAACAATTCTATAATAGATCATCCGTATATTGCAGGTTTCTGAATTTCAAGCTCCACAGGGGAGGGGCCCTGGTCCTTCCACTGAAGCACAAAATGGGGTGTGTACAGTTACATGGCCAGCTTGGCTGTGGAGTAAATCCATTGGGCAGGGAACTGATGGATTGCAAGGGGCTGGATCTTCCACCTCTCTTACTCTAACTAAAGACTGCCACCACTTGAGCCTTGGTGCATGCTGTCTGTTCTCGAGGATCTTGAATCATGCACTAATCTCTTTTCTGAGTGACATCTATTTACCTTTTAACCTTGGTTGCACAGTTTGGTCACTTAGTGAGCAGTGAAGCAAGAATCTTGGCTCAACAATAACAATATCCTATATAATAAAAGCCCAGGGACTGAACAGTGGAATGACCAAAACGACCAGTCAACCAGTCACTATGATATGTATTGACCACCAGGGTGCAGACGCTCAATGCAGGAGCTGAGTGGCGCTGATGGGGATGAGCAGTGCTCCCACAGTTGGCCGATCCCCACAGGCCATAACCCCCACCAGTGCACGAATCCCGTGCACCTGGCCTCTATTTTAATTATATTACAAGTTGGGAAGTAAACAGTGCCAGAGCTTATTTAATAACTCAACAAAGCAGTAAAAACTTTATTATTTTTGTTCCATATCCTATTTGTTGACTTTTAGGCCTTAAGCTCATTGTCTTTTACTCACAGGTGGCTGCCACTTCTCCAGGCATCAGAGCCTTGCGTGACCCTCTCCAAAGACAGAAAACAGAGGGCAGCCTGCACTTTAAGAAGACTTTCCTCACATTATACTCTCTTTTTAAGGGGGAACAATCATACTTTTAGAACACCATATTCATATGTCACATTGACTAAAACTTTGACATATGGATACACCTACCCACAAGGAATACTGGGAAAAGTGAGTATTTCCAAAGTTTTTTTTTTTAATTTAATGTATTTTATTGATTTTTTTTTTTTACAGAGAGGAAGAGAGAGGAATAGAGAGGGATATAGAAACATCAATGATAAAAGCGAATCATTGATCAGCTGCCTCTTGCATGCCCTTTACTGGGGATTGAGTCTGCAACCCTGGCATGTGTCCTTGACGGGAATCGAACCCGGGACCCTTCAGTCCCCAGCCAATGCTCTACCCACTGAGCCAAACCAGCTTGGGCACTGGTTGCTTTCTTAAGTGACTTGAAGTGAGTTTATGCTATTTGCAACGGAAAAGAAATCATACTTTTGTATTTATTATCAGTTTTCTCCACAAACATCTAAGGTCCATGGGAGCAGGAACTTTGGTTCCTGGTTGAATTCTAAGTACTTAGAACAGCAACTATAACACATTATCTCAATCAATATTTGTTGAGTTAATAAACAAACCACGAATATGAATCTTCATGACCAGAACCCTGCCATGGCAGTCTGAAGTAGCTGGCCACCAAGAATTTGTGTTTTGTTTTCCAGAATTGTGGCCAAAGTATTATAGCGATGAAGCCAGTTCTCACCAGAAGAATGAGAGCAGAAGTGGTATGTGTCACTTCTGGGTCAAGGTGACTATGCATTGGGGTTGAAATCTTCCACCCTTAAGCTCCTTAAGTCACCACTAGTGGAAACTGAACAAACCCTCATTCAAATGAGTTGTGGATTAGGAACTTTTGCTGCTTTAAGCCACTAAGACTTGTGGGGTTCTTTCTTGGTTAAGCTACCCTGACCATTACACTTAGCCTCCTCCCTCTCCCGCACCCCCAAATCCTGTCTCACTCCTCTAATCCAGTCTCCAAACTAGAGTCAATTTTTTAAAGGACAAATTTTATTGTGATTCTCTCTCTTAGGTTTCCTAAGGCCCTAAGAAAAAGTCAAAATTTATCAGTGAGACATTCAAAGATTTTGCTAACAGTTTAAGGGAACTCTCTGGGTTCATTTTCCAAAATTTCCCCTGATGGACCTTCTGCCTAAGCGAAACACAACAAACACAGTCTCATATCTCCTGCTCTCTGCTCTTGCCAGCCTGTCCCCTGGGATGCTTCTCATGGCAGGGCTGTGTTTGAGATCAGTAGCTTGTCTGGGTCCTGATGTGTGACTGGGGTTAGCATTCACTGAGGAACCAGGATTCAGCTCAGTGCCCAGGCTAAAGCAGCGCCTGGACTTCAGAATATCAAATTTTCTTTTTTTTCCTTTTTAAACCAATGCATCTTAGCTTATTTGGAGAGCCTTCCTTCCTTCCTTCCTTCCTTCCTTCCTTCCTTCCTTCCTTCCTTCCTTCCTTCCTTCCTTCCGTCCTTCCTTCTTAAAAATATTTTTATTGATTTCAGAGGGAGAGAGAGAGATAGAAACATCAATGATGAGAGAGAATAATTGATTGGCTGCCTCCTGCACACCCCCTACTGAAGATCGAGGTCTCAACCCAGGCATGTGCCCTTGACCAGAATCAAACCCAGGACCCTTCAGTCTGCAGGCCGACACTCTAACCACTGAGCCATACCGGCTAGGACCAGTTTTTCTTCTTATTTTTTCAGAATATTTATTGATCTGTTGTCTGATGATGTTTTGAGATATCTGAGCCCTAGCCCCTTCAGTTACCAGACAGAGTCCAAAATCTGGGGGTCATGGGACTTCATATTGAGAGGGCAGGGCGGGGTGAGGCTAACTCCTGACTCCATTTTGTACTGTGGGGCAGGGCGGAGCTATCCTCCATTTTGTGTAACTGGACCCTAGCCCTCACCCAACCAATTGGGGTCAGCCAAAGCAGTGATATCACCACCCCTATAAAACCCATTGAACTGTTGAAATTCATTCTCTCTTCCACCACGCTGTCAGCATGGGTGGGACAGAGCCCATACTGGCATGGAATTCAGGCTTTCTGTAATTGCATCGGACTCGGATCCCTGTTGGTCTTTGGGGATCACAAATCTGGGCGTAATAATATCATATCTGAGCACCTCAGTTCCCCGACTAGCCCTGGAGTCCCAGAATCCCTCCTTGACCATTTATTCTAGTGCCTCAGGTCCCCCCATGGGTGC